AAATTTCCCAGGCCTTGCTCAAAATCTTGATATACAAGTTCAAGAAGCTCAGAGGACCCCTGGGAGATTCAATGCAAACAGGAAGACGTCACGACATGCAGTCATCAGACTGACCAAAATATCGATAAAAGAGGCCCTTCTAAGAGCTGTAAGACGAAAGAAGCAAGTAACATACAAGGGAAAGCCAATTCGAATAACCTCAGACTTCTCTACTGAGACTTTACAAGCAAGGAGAGACTGGGGCCCCATTCTCACTCTTTTGAAACAAAACAATGCCCACCCTAGAATCTTATTCCCTGCAAAACTAAGCTTCATATATGAAGGAGAAATAAAGACATTCGCAGATAAGCAAAGGCTCAGAGAATTCACCAAGACAAGGCCAGCCCTCCAAGAAGTACTCAAAACAGTGTTACGCACGGAACACCATAATAAAACTCACGAATATAAAAACAACCAAAACCCAAAGATTAAAGGCCAGATATTACAATGGCTCAAGACAGAAATCAAAGCAACAACATCCAACCCAACAGAATGAACAGTAATCTACCTTACCTATCAGTTCTCTCAATAAATGTGAATGTCTTAAACTCTCCACTCAAGAGACATAGGCTGGCTGAATATATAAGAAAATACACGCCAAGTCTATGCTGTCTTCAGGAAACACATCTAACCTGCAAGGATGCATATAGACTAAAAGTAAAAGGGTGGAGATCAGTATTCCAAGCAAATAGAAGCCAAAAGAAGGCTGGTGTGGCAGTTCTAATTTCAGACGATTTAGTTTTTAAACCAACAAAAGTAGTGAAAGACAAAGGGGTCATTATATAATGGTGAAGGGCACAGTTCAAGAAGAAGAGAAAACAATTTAAAATATATATGCACCCAACTTAGGTGCACCCGGATTCATAAAGCAAACCTTACCGGATCTAAGCAAAATTGATTAATAGCAACTCCATAATCACCGGAGATTTCAATACCCCACCGACGGCACGAGACAGATCCTACAAACAGAAAATTAATAAAGAAATAATGGACTTAAACAAAACTCTAGAACAATTGGGTCTGACTGACATTTACAGGACATTCTACCCAAAATCCACTGAATATACGTTCTTCTCATCAGCTCATGGGACATTCTCTAAGATTGACCATATCCTAGGACACAAAGTAAATCTCAAGAAATTTAAAAAAATAGAAATCATGCCATGTACCTTCTCAGATCACAGTGGAATAAACGTAGAAATCAACCCTAACAGAAAATCACATTTCTACACAAAAACGTGGAAATTAAACAACCTCCTACTAAATGATTACTTCATAAATGAAGAAATCAAGATGGAAATAAAAAAATTCTATGTACAAAATGACATGGAGAAACAGGTTATCAAACCCTCTGGGACACACCTAAAGCAGTCCTGAGAGGAAAGTTTATCTCCATAAATGCCTATTACCAAAAGTCAAAAAGATCACAAATAGACAATCTAGTGAAACGACTCAAAGAGCTGAAAAAGAAGAACAGACCAACCCCAAACCCAGCAGAAGAAGTGAAATCAACAAGATCAGATCAGAACTAAATGAAATTGAAAGCAGGGAAGCTACTCAGGAGATTAATAAAACAAAAAGTTGGTTCTTTGAAAAAATAAACAAAATTGACATGCCATGGCTAAGCTAACGAAAAGCTGAAAAGACAAATTTCTAATAATCTCCATCAGGAACAAAAAAGGAGATATCACAACTGATGCCAAAAAGACACAAGATATAATTTATCAATACTACAAAAATCTTTATGCACACAAACTGGAAAATGTGGAGGAAATGGACAAATTTTAGAACAGACACCCATTAGCTCAACCAGGAAACATATGATTTCTGAACAGACCAATCTCAACAGCTGAAACAGAAAAGCATTAAAATCCCTAAAAAAAGTCCCCGGTCCAAGATGTTCACACCCCGAGTCTTTACCACACTTACAAACGAAGAATATCCTATCATGGCAGAAACTATTCCACAACATCGAGAAGGAACAGAAACCTCCCCAAACCTTTTATGAAGCGAATATTACTTGATACCAAAACCCAGGAAGCAACAAAAAAACAGACCATATCACTAATGAATATAGAGCAAAAATTTTCAACAAAATCTTAGCTAACCGAATCCAGACGCTTATCAAAAAAATAACCTCACGCAACTGGGCTAAATCCCGGGATTCAGGATGTCAACATACATATCTATAAAATGCAATTCACCACACTAAACAAACAACAAAAGACCACTGATTCCTTCAATGGATGCCAGAAAAAGCTTCTTGACAAATTCAACACCTTTCAATGATAATAAAAATAGCCATAGAAGGAACAACTAAAATGATACAAGCCATATATTCACAGAGCCCATTAGCCAACATCATGCGAATGGGAAATTGAAATCATTCCCACTAGAACTGAACAGACAAGGCTGCCCACTACTCCTCTATTCAAAATATGTACTGGAAGTCGGCTACAGCACTCAGACCAGGAAAGTGGAATTAAAAGGTATCCAAATAGGGCAGAAGAGATCAAACTTTCACTATTTGCTGATGATAAGTGAATTATAGTTAAAAACTCAAAGATCAATCAAAACTCCTGAATGATATGAATTTAGTAAAGTCTCAGGAACAAAATCAAATACAAGAATTTCAAGGCATTAATATATCCACAACAATCAAAGGAGAACCAATCAAGACTCATCCTTTCATAACAGCAACAAAGATAAAGTACCTAGGAATATTAACTTAACCAAGGAATAAAAGACCTCCAGGGAGTACTATGAAACACTGAGGAAGGAAATAGCAGAGGATGTAAAAAGATGAATCCATACCATGCTCGTGGTCGGAGCAACATCATCTAAAATGTCATACTACCCAAACTGATCTACGAGATTCATGCAAATACTATTAAATCCATCATCATTCTCACAGATTAGAAAAATAATTTTACGCTTCGTATGAACCAAAAGAAACCCAGAATACAAAAGCAATTCTAGCACTAAAACAAAATGGAGGTTATTCATATGCCAGAATCAAACTATATACAAAGCTGTAGTCATTAAACAATCTAGTATTGGCATAAAATAGGAATTTGACCAGATGGACGATGTATAGAATCCTGATATTAATAAAATCGCTCATATAGCCATCTGAAATCTTTGAAAAGCGACAAAACGTATGCTGGGAAAAGAATCCCTTTTCATAAAAGGGGGGGGGGGGGGGGGGGGGGGGGGAGGTGCTGGGAAAACTGGATAACACTTGTAGAAGGCTAACAGCAGGGACCACCTTTCACCTCCACAAAAATCAACTCAGCTGGATAAACAGACCTAAAACTTAGGTATGAACTATTAGGAATTCTAGGGGAAATGGAAACACCTTCCTAGAACATCGCCTGGCAAAGAGTTTATGAGAAGTCCCAAGCAATCACAGCAGGCCAATAAAATAAATAAATGGACATGATAAACACAAGTTCGCACAGCCAAGAAACGTCATGAAGTAAACAGACAACCTAACAGAATGGAGAAAAGTTTTGCATCCTACGCATCCGATAAGGCTATAACTAGAATATATTAGAACTCAAGAATCAGCAAGAAAAACCTTCAAATAACCCTGTTATAAAGTGGCAAGCTTGAAACAGAAACTTTTCTAAGATAAAAGAATGGCCAACAAACATATGAAAAATGTTCAACATCTATAATCATCAGGAAATGCAAATCAAAATCACAGATATCTTAACTCCAGTGAAAGCCTTATCAAAAAGTCCTCCAAACCAATAAATGCTGGGGATGCCGAGGAGAGGAGACCACTCCTACACTGCTGGTGGATGCAACTAAGTTCAACTCTGTGGAAACATAGGAATACCTTAGCGATACATAATCTACCATTTGAATCCAAGCAATCCCATTGCTGGCATTACCCAAAGTCCAAT